CCAACCTGACATGGAGAGATCAACACCTGACCTCTGATCTCTTGCTTTCTTTAGCAGACTCTATTGAAAATCTGACAGTAAACAACTGATGAGCTACAACTTGTAACTATGTAAAATCAGATAGGAAAACCTCTAAGACAATGGCTCAAAGAAATGAGAGCATGGTACTTCTGGGGCTACTTATCTATAGATAATATCTATAATTTCTAGGTTTTGGTTTTTTGGTTTTTTATTTGAGACCAGGTCTTGCTATGTAGCTCAGGCTAGCTTGAAACTCACTGTGTAAAATAAATAAATAAACATACAAACTCACTGTATACCCAGGATGGCCTCGAACTCACAGCAGTCCTCCTTCCTCAGCCTCCCAAGTGCTGGGATTACAGGTATGTGCCACCATGCCCAGGTATAATTTCTCAAAATGCAGATAAATGCAGAAATTGTGGCTAGCATGTTGTTTGAGAAAGATAGTTTTCAACACCAAGTTAGCTTTTTAGTACTGGAATTCAGTGGTAGAGGAAAATCTCAAAGAAATTTGAGATTTTGGTTAGCGAAGGAAAACATATACACCAAGGACCTCCAAGATTTCAGGTAGTGGACCTCAGCTTGAGAATTGGTTCCTTTCTATACTAAAGAGAAAAGGAGTGTTCCAAGATTGCTTTTGTAAGGATGAAACCCTACGGTAGGTGCCTGCGAGGTAGTTATACACAGAGGGGCTCAGCCTGACTGGGGTGGACCAACAAGGGTCCATCTACTGGGAGAGCTGGATTTGAACTTAGCCGTGTGCTGGGTGGAGAAATTGCTATCATGGAGACTGGACAACATCCGGGGCATCTCCCAAGCCAGGCAGACGGGGCACCCATGGCAAGATACCCTAACTCTTGCTTGTTTCTACGAGAATGTTTGCACTGCATCACTGTGGGCTTTGGAAGCAAGAAGACAGAGTTTCATTGCGGGAGAGATGTGGGCTGGAATTGCTGGGATCTGTGCTGCGGCGTGCACGGCAGAAGGACATTTCTAGTTCAGCTTTGTTACTGCACCAGCCCCTCCTAGACCACGGTTCCGAGTGAACCGTGGGTTTTAGGACAATGATTGGCTGAATCAGCTCTCTTTCACTTGGAAAATAAAATACTCGAGACAATCACCATACAAAGAAAAATTACTTAAGCTCTCAGTTTTGGTGGTTCCTGTCACTGGTCAGTTACTCACCCCACTGCTATGGTTCTGTGGTGAGGTGGCTCATCATGGCAGAGCACACAGTGGAGCGAAACCACTCACCTGATCGTAAGCCAGGGAGCAAAGGGGACAAGAGGCCAGAGTCCCGCAGTCCCCTGCAATGGCCAAAACTCTCCTGCTAGGCCCAACCTCTTAAGGTTTTCACAGCCTCCTGGTAGAGCCATCCTGGGAAACAAGCCTTTCACAAATGAGCCTTTGGGGCATTCACCCTACAGAAATGTCCTTGTACTGCACTTCGGCCCAGCTCCCTCCAGTAGTCCAGGTTTCCCTAAGATTCACCAAACTCAAAGGCTTGTGGCAGCTTTCATTAACAGAGTAGGTGATCAGCATCCTATCCAGCTGGGGACAGGATGGGGCACCAGAGACAAAAATCCATAACAGAGATCAAGATCTCAATAGAGGCAGGAGATGGAAGGCAACAGTGACCCAGAGAAAGGTTCCTGCTGCATGACTTGAGGAGCAGATTGGAACAGTGCCACCCACAGAATAGCTCAGCCCTCCCATAAATGTCAGAACAGGAGGGAGCCGAAAAGACCACAGAACTTCCAGCAGGAGACATCCAAAGGGCTGCTGTTTGGGTTACTGTATTTTCTTGTTGTTATTACATCTCTGAAATCAGAAGCACTTGATTGACTTCCAGTTAGAATGAATATGAAAATGAATTTGTAAATCCAGGTGGAAAAGCCAGGCTCTGGCTGCAGCACAGACGAGGCGGCTCTGGATTTTCCCTTCGACACTCCTGAGGGTGTCATCGACTGCCACCCACAGCCCCAAATCAACACCTCCTTACCTTGGCCCAGAACTCCACACCAAGGAACTCATCCAAGGGAACAGACTAGAAGATGTATCCTTCGTGCTGGTAAGAACTAGGTCAAAACTTCAAGCCCAACATAGGGAAATCAATGGACACATGTCGTAAATCCAACTGATGAAGCACTAGGTGATAAAATTATTAAATAGCAAGACCACAGAGGAACTTTTAAAACGTTGAACTTCCATGTTAAATGGAAAAAGCACTATGATTTTAATTATGTGAAATTATTGTAGTATGTATGCCTAAGGACAAGAAAAGACCACAAAAAAGCAGATGAGTTAGCACAATGGAAATTTAGATGCTTTTTAAAAAAATGTCCCTGGTGCTGCTTATGCAATAAGTACAAATCAACAGGAAATAAATAAGTGGAAGTAAAGTAAGTATTAAAATATCCTTTTATATGCACTAATTTTTTCAAGAACAGTAGAATTTTAACAATCTATGAGCTAGGTTAGAAGATGAGCATTATTCATGCATTATACTTTTTCCTCTGTTTGAAATTTCCACAATAAAATGTTTTTTAAAGGAACTATAATCATAAAATAATAAAATGAAGGTTTGTTTTAAGTAAATACAAAACAGACAAGCTTCCTTCTTCTTGCAAATAATGCCTGATTCCTATTCAGGAAAGAAATATTTATTTGCGGCCACTCGATCGCTCAGATTGGTTGCTCCCTGGTTGATGTCAATCCCCCATTTCCATAATGGAAAGGCAAATAATTTCCAGGTCATCACAGGAACAGAAGGAAGCCAGGAAAAGTAGGCCCGTTTAAAGACATTCACCCAGAGGGTCGTGGCCTCAATATTTCCACCGCAATTGATTAGGAGATGGAAACCTCTTCACACCCTAAGCCCACTGGGCTGTTTCAACAGAGCCATGCAAGCCAGAACCCAAGGCTGCCTCTGCGCCCCCTGTGCCCCCTGCATCTCTCTGTCTCTCTCTCTCTCTCCCTCTCTCTCTCTCAGCACACAGTCTCCGTCCTAGATGTCTGAGACCCACTGCTGCCCTGCCCTGCACTGACACCTGATAAGACAGCTCCAACTCATGTTGGTCAACACTGCGAGTGCATTACATGCACTAACCATTCAATCCTTGCTAACAATCTCATGGGGAGGAAAAGCCGGCCGTGAAATTTGCCTGAATAAGCCACCTCCCCCGTGGCCAGACTGGGATAAATGTGCAGGAGGAAGCCCCAAATTTTATGCCCAAGGCACTTGTGTTTCTGTCTCGCTGCTACTGTAAGCAGTGATGTAATGAATGACCTTATGTAAATATCACTCCCCATCCGTGCAGAGATGTTTGTGGGCTGTATCCCTAGAAATGGGCTCCTTAAACACTTAATTGTATATTTGGTTGATTTCCTCATAACTCACTATAACTTTTGTGGGACAGGCATACATTTGTCTTGTTCACCCAAAGGAGAGGCAATAAATACAATAAATATGATAAATATGTACTTAATTCCTCCTTTACTCTTTCAGCAAATGTTTATTAAACACCTGCTGAGGGCCAGGGATCTAGCTCAGTGGGTCTGCTGCCTGTCTTGCAAGCACAAGGTCCCTAGTTCGATCCCCAGTACCAAAAAAAAAAACACCTGCTGGATGCTGGGTATACCAGGAAGAATGTTTGGTTCTCCTGGATCTTACATGCCAGTGTAAGAGCCATCAGCAAATCCATGATGTGCTGTGGGGAAACACGGGAAAGAAGACTAACACAAAGGATGGGGCTACCAAGTCGCATTTAAAATAAGCAGCTATCAAATAAATCAGTGGAGAAAGTAATTCTAGTGAAGAAGTCTCCTTGCAACGATGTAACTGTGAAATTTTTAACACCTTGAGTGTTTGACAATGAGGACAGAGTCCCACTTCCTCTGCACTACTGGAGCTTCTGAGTTTGCAATCAGAGAGAGAACAGAGCCGGGGAACCAGTATGCCCTGGAACCCTCTCCGAAGGGGAAAGTGGAGTAGTTCCCAAGACACACTTAAGACATGAATGAAGCATGCGGTCACAGTGCAAATCCACCGGGCAGACACCAGCGCACTAAGTCACCAAGAGTACAAAGCTCACTTGCTCACCCCGATCTGAAATCTTCTATACAATCAGTTTTCCAATGAAAATCGTTTTGATCCTGATAGCACAGGAAAAGAAAAAAACCCTCCTCCACCATTTGCTTTCCTCAAAGGAATACTATTCTGGCTGAAGATTCAGAAAAATGAAATTCAACATCAATTACTGCATTTCTTCAAAGAGGAGAATTTGTCAGCAGAAAACAAAAACCTCTTATGCTGTGTGGACTTTAAGCTCAGAAATAATATAGATCTATTATTACTGCAGGTCTAACTGCTAAAAACTAAGCTTGCAAGGTTAAAGTTTATCTGGTAGCATGGGGAATCAAGGGCAACTCATCATCACAGTAGCTGCTGACTTCCCCTGAAACACACCAACAGGACTTTCACTAAGTTCACACAAGTGAGGTTTGAGCAATTCCAATCTACTTAGGAAAGCTTTGCTGATGCCATCTGAATAGAGTTCAAAAAGCATCTATCAACCCTAAAGCATGTCATCAAAGGCCAACACTAAGTAGCCGTGTTTGCACACTTGGAGACCAGTCCCTGCAGCACCATTTACACATCGAATCCGTCTGGTGCCTCATCCCTTAAACCAGACCACCCACAATTCAGGTTTCACAACAAACACCCAAAGCACCATTCAGGACTCAAATTCCATTTGCTATCTTTCTGAAGTGTTCCTAAATTATCGCTTTTCTGCAAGAAACAGGGCTCGGGTGATGAGAGGTCAGCTACCGGGCCTGGGGGCGGGTTCTGATGTGCACCCAGCCTTCCCAGTCCCAAGTCCCAACAGGGAGGACATGGCCCTGCCGGTGGTGCCAGCAGCCCGCAGACCCTGTCTCTGCAGACCTCCGGGCCCTCAGGAAGACCAGGTAGCACTCACCGGGTGCCGCAGTCGGCAAAGTCCATTTTTCCAGACCAGGGCTTGGAACTGGCGGCCAGCGAGCCCCATGCCTGCTGCTCCCTGCTCTTAGGAAGTCAGCCTGTGAGCGGTGCTTATATCCACGGGCGGGTACGGGCAGGGGCAGGTCGCCTATTAGTCAGTCCCACCAGGGCGTGATGCAAGAGAGATTACTGGGGACCAGGGAAAGCAGGTATCAAATGTCCCTCGTGCTCTGCCTTTGCAGGAGCTGCTCGCTCGCTCGGGGATGGGGGCTGGTTCTGAGGCTGCCTTCAGGCCCTGCCTGGGCACAAGCACAGAGGTGCGCACCCTTGCTGGGACCCCGCAGCAGACGCAGTGTTTCCCACTGACCGCTCCCCTTGGTGTTAATAGGGTGGAATTATCCCTGCCCTGTCCTGAAACATGAGCTGTCACGCCAACTGACCAAAACAGCCCCATTTTGGAGCTCGCATGGCAGAGCCTGGAAAGGAAAAGGTGGCTCAAAGTGCCCTGAGCTGCCACTTGCTGCCCCACTCCCCCAAGGGCTGGGACGCAGCTCAGCAGCTCTGTGTCTTCCTGGCAAGTGCAGGGTCCTGAGTTTGAACCCCGGTACTCTGCCTCCCCTCAAAAAAAAAAAAAACAGAGCGGAGGATGGCAGGTGCCAGCATGGAGGGACTCAGCAGGCCTGGGGGTCGCCCCTGAGCGCCACAAACTCTGCACACTCGCACATTTCATGGGCGCAGTGGATTCACTGGGCACTGGTTGCCCCATCACCCTGACACCAGGGCTCCCCAGCTCCTGTGCCCCGAAGCTGTGGACAGAAGGACATTGGGCAACCTGGCCTCGTGGGCTTCCATTCCATAAAGCCATTTTCGCAAGCTGTGAGCGTTCGCTGTGCAGCTTTTGCAACAGGAAACGGGGTCACCGGCTTCTGCAGAGGGCTTGAATCAAGTGTCCCATAGACTTACGTCTGAAGGGGACCCGCATTTACATGACACTTCACCGCGTGCTACTTCACTGGCACCCGAGTGACACGCTCAGTGCGCACAGGGGTTTGTCCCAGCCCCATGGGGTAGGGTCCCTCTTCTTGGTCTCTCCTCCTCAAAGGACCAGCAGGGTCATCTAAGTAAAACAGCAGGGTTCTCTGCTGGAAACACTTCGAGCACCATGGGCGGTTGTGATGGCTTTTAAAATTCTGTATGCGGAAATGCACCAGATCACCAGACTTCCCCGTTTCACACTGGGATGCCAGCCTAACACCAGGGCATGCGTCCCATCTCGTGCCTGCCTTCCTCAGAGCAATGCAGCCAGGGATCTCCAGAAACAGAAGTCATCAGTGACTGATGACTATAGGAAATGGCTCACACCAGCAGGCCCGGCCCAGGGTCTGCAGGTGAATAGGGAAGTCAGAGACACAAGGCAGCTGATGGCTCAGGTTCTAAGAGGCAGGAGGCTCAGGATGTGGGGGAGCGGATGCTTCCCTCAAGTCTGATGGCAGAGAAAAAGCTCCATGCCAGTGTGAAGACCAGCAGACAAGAGGAATTCTCTGCCGTGCAGAGGAGGGTCTGCCGGGGTTAATCTGTAAGGGTCTCTGACTGACTGGATGAGGCTAGCCCCTTCGGGAAGGCTGGCTAGCTGCTGTCCTGTCTGCCTCCTTACATGCTCATCTCACCAACAACACCCTCACGGACACTGCCAGGGTAATGTCTCACCAAGTCCCTGGTATCCGTTAGGGTTTAGGTCCAGATGTCCCCAAGAGCCCCGTGTTCTTGTGGGTGGGGCTTTTGGAAGGTGATGGGGTCACCGGAGTTTATGGCTGACTTGCTGTTAGGACGAGGTCTGGTGGGAAGAAGCAGGTCACCTGGGTCTGACCGGAAGGGTCTATCTCCCTCCCCGCTCCTTCCTCCATTCTCCCCGCTTCCTGGACACTGCGATATGAGTTGCTTCTCCTCTGGGCCCCTCTGCCATGCCACCCTGCCTTGCAGCCATCCAACCATGGACTGAAACCCAAGCCAGTATAAACCTCTCCTCCTTTAACTTTGGGTGATGAGTATTTTTCCAGGAGTGAAGAAAGTGACTGAGACAGTGGTATCTCATGGCCCAACCAAATGACACCTAAATATGCCACTGCAAGTCCTCTCTTGCCGACGCAGTGCCATGTGCCTCCCTCACACCACACTTCATCTCCAAAGGTCATGGTCCCACCCAGCGTGGTACAACTCCAATCTACAGCTGTGAACGCACCAGCTCCTTTTGCAGAGGGGGAGGGGGATCTCTCTGAGTGAGGTTCGTTCTTCTCCTTGATATTCCTACAGCTTAAAAACTATGGCATAAACTTAACAACACTTACATACTCGAATGTGATTACATCCTGTCTTACATGACAAGGTGATAAGAGGTGGAAGACAAAGGTATTTGCTACACACACAAACATCTTCATAACACTCCAGGTTGAAGGAACAGGGAGGAGGTGGAGTTGCCAGAGTTTAGGTCCTGAATTCCGGGTGTGGGAGCTGGAGCCCTAGAGGGTGAAGGGAGAAGGGAGAGGACAGTCATGGAGGACTCTGGCACCCAGGCCTTGTCAGCCCTGGTGGGCCTCACCACCAGCTTCCAAGCTGCCCCAGCCCTCTTCCCCCGCTCCTGAGCTCTGCCATCACCCACACTGCGAGCTTCCCACAGGAGATTTCCTCCCCTATAATGTACCACGTGGTCTGCATCTTCCATGTTGGGTACAGATTCTGCCAAACAGTCCACGAAAACTAGCTCCTAGGGGAAGGGCTGTCCCAGGGTCGAGGCCGGCCTGTCACGGTCAGTAGGAGTCTCCCTGTCTGTGTCCATCTCTGTCTCTGTCTCTGTCTCTCTCTCTCTCTGTCTAACTCTTTCCAGCTCCCTGGTTCTCTGTCTCCATTTCACTCAGATGCCTCACTGAGACAAGTGACTAAAAGAGAACAAAACCTATCCACATGGGGATCGTAGCAACCTCCCCTCACTCTTTTTTGTTTTGTTGCTGTTTTGGGTGGGTGGGTTGGTTGGTTGGTTGGTTGGCTGATCTTCACTACTGGGGACTGAGCCCAAGGCATCACGAGGTACATACCCAGCATTTTTTCACTTTTTATTTGAGACAAGATTTTACCAAGTCACTGAGTTGCCCGGGCTGGGCTTGAACTTGTGATCTTGCTGCCTCAGCCTCCCAGAGTGCTGGGGTTACAAACCTGCACCACATGCCAGCTTCTCTCTGTCCTGTTCTCTTCAGATGATCATCCCCACCATCCATATCCCCTTTAACACAACATAGAGTCTGGGAGGCCAGCAGGAAGGAACTACTACAATTGTCCAAAGGAAAGGAAATAAGGATTCACAACACACAATGTGGTGGATTTCCAAGAGAAGCCAGGCTGTGGCCCTGGAACTAGCCAGGTAGGAATCCAGGTCCCACCTATGGGCATCTAATGGCATTACTGTCTTAGTTACTTTACTCATTTCCCAGCACTCACAATTTAAAGGAAAAAAGATTTTGACTCACAGTTTGTAGAGGTTTCAGTCCATAGTTGGATGCTTCTAAGGCAAGGTGGTAGGGCAGAGGGGCATCACAGAGGAGAAACAGTCCATGGTAGGGTAGGCAGGAGGAAGCAAGCAGCGAATGTGCCTTCCTTCTTTTCCTCTTCTGTTCCATCCAGGATATACATTATCCACACCCAGGACTTGCTAAGCCAAACAGTGGACTAATGTAGTGATCACACACCCTTAATCGAAGTTCACACACCCTAGATACAGCCACCTCCCAAAAGCCCCACCTATCAATGCATGAGGCTTTGGGGGGAGACCTAGATACCAGTCATAACAATGACCTACTAACCACAGCCCACTATCCCACTCAGTACCACTGTGAAGCATGCACCATGGGTAAAATAAGAAAATGCAAATACATCCCTGATTTCTCCCAAAGCTGCCTGCTTCCAGAGTTCCACAGGCCCAAGATGGACTTTCCCAGAAGTTGGCCTCTCAAGAGGCCACATAACACTGATGGCATGGGAATATTTTCATCCACCTGCCCGGGTGACTGACAGTTCCTCATCTTCCAGAGTGTGGTATGCACAGAGCAGAGTATTAAAAGTCCAAACAGCTGTCAACAACCAGAGGAGAAAACCATGAGACTAGACTCACCAGCCTCTCCTGTTATGATGCACAAACACAAAGGTTTTCTGGTTCAACAGCAATCAGGAAATGGGAAATCCGCTACAAAACCCAGATCACAAGGAACACAAGAATAGGAGGGTGTTATGGGACAAAATCTATTCCTCCAAAATCCTAACCCCACATAGGACTGGATTTGAATGAAAGTCAAATGAGGTCATCAAAGAGGGGCCCTCATCCAGTGAGGCCGTGTCCTCACAGAAGAGGGAGAGACACCAAGAGTCTGCATGCATAGAGGGAAAGCCAGGTGAGCACACAGAGGGAAGGTGGCTTTCTCCACTCCAGGAAGAGAAACCTCACTAGAAGCCAACTCCAACATCAACTACATCTTTAGGTCTGGTCTCCAGAAATGTGGAAAAAAAAATCAGATTTCTGTTGTTTTAAATTTCCCATCTATGGGATTTCATTTTGGCACCCTGAGTGTTCTAGTTAATATATAGCATTGATTAAAGGGACCTAGGAACCCAAATTTCTACTTGAGGGCCTGAAGACAAGGCTAGCTAAGGAATTTAAGGCCGATGTTTGCACCTTACCTAGACCTGGGAATTCTTTTGACTCTAGAGGACACTGAGAAAAGCATGGAGTTGGCAAAAAAAGAAGCCTCTGTATAAAAGGATCCTGAGAATGGAACTGACTGGAGATTACCTGTAAAGCTGAATTCCCTCAATATTCATACAATGGACCTTCGAGTTATAACTGGCCTGACATATGAACAACTTGGGTTACAACTCGAATTTTAGTTTTGACTTATGAACAAAGTCTGGAGCTATAACCTGAATGCTGGCCACTTGTGCTTCCAGATGGTCTGATACAGATTTAACCCTGAAAGAGTTCTGGAAGGAACAAGACAACCTCCCTTCTTGTGTGGGGTTAACTGAGAAATCCTG